GAGGTGTCGTTTTGCTTGAGTTGATGTTCTTCCGAATGCCTTGCTGCGAAAAGGGTGAGAAGGAAAACAAACCAAACTGGGTGGCCCTATTTTGAGACACACCTGAAAAGACGTGTAGTTAAACGTATTGGTCTTTTCCAGACTATGCCCATTGCCAGTAGCGTCTTGAAAAGGTGACCCTCAATCCAAATTCGAGTTCAGGCATTCCCAACGCAGCAGTGCTGCGACATTGTTTCCCTTCCTGGAATGGTTTTAGCAATTGACACCATGATTGGCCGTGCATTATGAGTTGGACAGGCAAATCCCCCAAATTACCCCAAGACACCACTGGTCCAGTTCAGACAATTGCAGACAGCACCCAGTTCCCGCCCAGTTGGAAGGGTGGGACCTCTTGCAGCCACAAGGAAGAATCTGGGAGATTGGTATGTTTGAACTCGATGTGGGTTTCTCAAAATAGGAACCCGTCCCCATTTGAAGGCAAGAGTTTCCTCTTTCTCTTTAACAACCAACCCCAAGACCGGTCATAAGCAATTTGTTGAGTGACTTCTGACTGTTGTTATGTTTGCCTTTGGTGTTTGTTTTGTGGGAGACACTTGCCCAAAGCCCCCAGTTTTGCCAGGCTGTTGGAGCCACCCTGTCTTGTTCTAAAAGATGAGTTTAATACTGTGGGTGGACGAACTCCTGCACCACTTTGAAGCCATGGGAAACCATTGTCTGTTGGTATTTACAGGGGAATCATGATTCCAGGGTTTCCTTAGGTGATGCGAAATGGATTTTGTCCATCCATCCATCCATCCACAGTATGCGGGTCCCAGATTCCGACTTGGCGACCTCCCGAGCTTGAGCCCCCCCCCCACCCAAACCTAAACAGGTGCTGCAGTTCGGAGCGCACCCCTACCAAACAAGTGGCTGAAGGTTATTTTGGGGCTCCATCTGAACTGAGAGACTTTTTCTGAACCAGGTAGGTTTGATCATTGGAAGAGCTACCCACTTACCCACCCTGCCATCATCAAATCGTCTAGGGCTTGAGATAAAGGGAACCTCTTGGGGAATTTAGACCATAAGCATTTCTATTTGGGATCATGCCCTCCCCAACATGGTTTTTCTTTTTGGTCGGGGGGGGGGCGGTCATCCACAGTTTGACAAATGCTGCTTATGTGTGTTCCTCCCCAACGGAACCCCCACAGAAAAGGTTTGCTCGGCGATTGCCCCTGTTGAAATCATGTGACAATTCCTATGGTTGAAACCATCTTCTTTTGTTCCGTGGTTGCCAGGGTATGGTTGTCTCACTCCCGGAGTTTCTGGACTTTAGCCAGTGGCAACTAGTTCGGACATGTGTTGGCCAGTCCGCTCGATCGGAAGTGGGTGTGGCGATAAAAAACGAACCAGCCAGAATTAGCCAGGTGTTGGCCTACTTCTCCATTCAGGCTTCCATTTTGGACCCCCAATATCGTGTCACACCCACACGACTTCTAACATTTTTTTCAGAACAAGAAGAAAATTTCCCGCCGCCGGTCGGACCGGTTTCTGGGCGCCGAGGCGGGGTACATGCCGAGCGCGAGCCCACACTCAGAGGGCCATGTCTTCTCGAGCTTTGGGAGCAGCCAATCCGACTGGCTCTCCTGAGGCTACCTCTGTCGGGGAGGGTGCACCAATTTCGAAAAGGGGTCCTTTTTTTCGTCAGGGGAATCCATAAGTTTTCAGTTTGGGTTGGGTTCAACATTTGGGCAACCTTTGTCAGAAGCCAGTTGGAATCCAAAGCTTTCAGCAGCTTCAACCAGAAATCACGTGGGAGAATCCAAAGCTATGGTTGTAGCATGGTTCAAGGGACCGAACCCTGGATTCGATCGAATGCTGGAGATCTCCATTTGGGTTTGTCATGGTTTGTCGCTTTTTGAGGGTCCAGGGAACCCAAAGAGAAAGAACACATTTTGTGGTTCGTTTTTGGAGGGTAGAGGGAACCCAAAGAGGCAGAACAGTGGTTGGATGGCAGATTGGGGAGCTCAACTCTTTGAGGCGGGGATTGATCCCGGCTCGTTCCCTTGAAAAAATCGTCTGCGAGCGCGCTTTAAACATAGGGCGACGAGGCCGGATTGACGACGTGTAGATTTCCGATTGTACTGTGTTCATAGATGTAAATGGTGTCTGTTTTTAGGTTAGTTTGAGTTGATATAGATGGCACCGCTTTAGATTGGTTTACTCAATTTTGCAGGGCCATCTATTTTGGTTTGAAAGAACACCTATGAATGTGTACGTATGTGATTTCTTTCTCAGCTGTCTTCTTTTGTGCAGATTACTGTCAGGGATTGCCCCAACCCACACCTTTTGCAGCGCGTCCTTTAGTTGCCTGCCTAGGGGTGTGTTGTGGGCATCTTGAGTGTTCGGTTGCGCGGAAGTGCTCAGGTCTCGATTTTCTTCCTTTGCTCGATCTTTGGAGAAACCACCCGATGGGGGGTTCCTGTTTTTTGGACGGCCTCGGAAACCATCAATAGTCAGGCAACAGGTACGCCTGAAGCGGCAGTTTGTATTTGGGATTCGAAGCCCGGAGCTTAACCACCAATCCAAACCACCTTTTTTGAGGGAAGCTGAAATGCGGGATCCCCAGTACCAGTTAGAGGTGGGAGTTTGCTTCAGGAAACTGACAGAGCCTCGTTTTCTCGCGAGCGCGAAGCCAGAGGCGAAAGGCCGCGGATTCGCTTGCATTGACCCGGGCTCATGGAACGCGGTTGCTTCCAGGTCTTCAGAAACATGCCATCAGGGCCGAGATATCTGGGCAAAGATTAATGGTAACCCCGGAGTAATAAACCCGCCCTACTAAAGTTGACCCCGGATCAATAAACCCCTGTTTGTTACTTTGGGGGTGTCCCTTGGTTTAGTGGGGATTCATCACTTTTGGAGGGGAACACCCCCATATCAATTAACAGGGTTTAGTAATCTGGGTTCAACATCAATAGGAGGCTGTCACCCACAACAGTCAGTGATGAATCCTCACTGAAAAGGGACACTCACCTATGAATCAACCAGGGGTTCTTACTTTCTGAGGTTCCGAATAATTAGAATAGGTTGTGGGGCTACTTGAAAACCAAATCAAGCCATGATCCTAGGAGAATGCGTGTAACTATCTAGCCCCCCTACGTTGCCCATGGGAAATGTGTCTCAAAACTTGGGCATGGAGCCCCGAAATGGGTGGTTTCCTTTTAGATTTTGCTCCAAGAAAAGACGAGAACGAAAAGCAATCAACAACAACAAAAACACAGGATACTCTTGACAAAGGCACACCCATAAGGCTTTGTCCCATTCTTCCCAAGGGGATCCTCTCGAAAGTGCCAAAGTCGTCACAGGGAATCAACCACTTTTGTATCATTTGTATCATTTGACGGCTCCCTTCAATTGGGTTTGTGATGACAAGCGGAAGGACCCTTATCTTGGAGCCAAATGTATCTCTATCGCTTTGTGCTGCCTTGGTCTTTTGGGCCCAACGGGTCGAGCCCAGTTTGCCAAAGTGTCAATGCAAAGCAGTACCCCGCAGGGTTCCACACCCGTCGAAAGAAAGGTTCACCCAATTCAGATGAGGAAACTCCTTGAGGAAGCAATTGTGGTCATATCAACCCCAGCTGTTTTGATGACGGTTTGACCCGCCAAGCTTTCTCCTTAAACCCCAGAGGACAGAAGCAACCTCGCTGGAAGTCGGCTGAATTGGACACTTGCGAAACATAGAAAGTATATACTGGACGATCCAGTTTGAAGGACGATGGCCGTTTGGGCCTCCAGTTCAAAACAGCATGACTTGGGCCTGCTTCGATTGCCCTCCTGTCCGGAGGCTCTTCGAGGAAAAGGTTAATGGCACAACCGGGCCCCAGGCCCCTCACTTGCCGGGGTTTTCGTTGCCGGTTCATGGAAGCAGGGTCGGCGCCCATAGAACGTAGGTGTCCTTGGTTTCGATGAGAATAGATGGGAGCCTTTGAAGTGGGTTTCGCGAAGCTCCGTTTTTGCATCTTCCGTTTTCCTTTTCTCAAAAAACGAACCAAACCGCGTGTTTTGGTTTCCTTTTTCAACAAGGACACCTCGGCCCTGGAATGTTTGAACAGGCGCGATGGCCTGAACGCGACGGGCTGCACCCAAACCCCGTGGTTATTCTGTGTTTTGAACTCCACAAAGAGACGATGATTTTCTGCGAAAGAAAAGGCATGATTTGAATCGTCATTCTCAATAGCCATTAACAATTCGGCGCCAGACCTTCAAGACGGTTTCGCCTTGCGGGGTTTGGCTGTGGCTCTGAGGGGGATTTTAATCGCTCTCCGGAAGCTTTCGGGGTGCAGGCACTTACGGTGCGATGGTGCGATGTTTTTATTCGCGGTGTATCCGGCATAGGCCGGCTGCATGGAAAGTGCGAGGCTGTTGTGTGGACTTCTCCAGCCTATCATTCAGGATTTATTGGTTTGACTGCTGTGGGTGGACAAATCCCATTTCGCACCGCCCAAGAACCCCTGGAATGTTGACTCCCACAGTAAATACCACAGTTACAGCTTGTTACAATGGTTTCTACTGAGGTCCAAACCGGCCCAGTTGGACGGGCCTTTGAGGTGGAGGGCAACACGCTGAAAACATGGTTATTTGACTCTAATGTATCATGGACACGGCTGTGGTGCAATGGCAGCGCGCCCGCTCATAAGGGCTGGGAGGTTGCAAGACCCTGCTGGCCATATTAACCCTGACCTCCCCATGCCGCTTACCAGTGTTGCTAAACTTTGTGAATCATAAGTAGGTTGCCCAGATTGGTGTTGTTCTTTTCAATTATTGCTCCAACGAAAAGGAACACCTTCCCTTTACGTTTCACCAGACAGTCAGAGCGTGAAGTCAATAGAACGAGAGTGACTCGAATGTGGCGGGGTACTTGCCACCCAAATTGAATCAATCGCAATCTAGGAAAGACCTAATCATATAGCCCCTATTTCGTTCAAACCCTGGTTCTAAGTAGTAGTCAGCGCCTTACATGGTCACCCCTGTCCCTTTTTTCCGTAGCTCGAACCGGCTTCAACGGGGGAAATGGAGGCCAGACCTTTCGCGGCGCGACACCTCGCCGGCCTTCGCCTCGGTTCCAGCGGCCCTCTGCGCTTACGCAATGGTCTTGCGGTTGCGCGGCAGGCGCGGGGCCAAGAGGGGGACGGGTGGGACGGCCTCTCGGAAAGGGCACATGTTGGAGCCTTCAGTTCAAAGGTCAGGTGCTTCTCAAAGGCAACCTTTGGTGGATTCTGAGACACCACCCAAACTTCTAAATTCTTAGGGGGGCCCCAAGCAAATCGTTCTTTTTATTCTCCGTTTCCCCCATTTGTATGTCTATCTCCACATCCGTGGCCGTTCATGCTGTGGATGGGCAAAAATCCGACAACCCGCACCAGTTGGGATTGGTCGTTTATCAACCTTCATACTGTGAGACGAAATCCATTTCGCACCACTTGAGATAGATGAAACCCTATAGATCAAACGATTTCGTCCACCCACAATAGGGTTGAATTTGTCCCAAGTGGCTGCTTGGATTTCGTCCACAAAGTGGGTCCCGGGCGCTTGCGGTGGGTTGGAAGCCTAAGACTACGCAGGGGGTGGGGGGGTGGGGGGCGAAAAAGTTGCAACTCTTTCCGGGATTCGGAGGTTTCCAGGTCTGGTCAAACCTTGAATAGGGCCTTGAAGGGGACCAGGAGCCATGACCCTGACAGTTGGGGGAAGAGGGCTGCAGGTGTAAAAGTTGGACACCCACGCTGAAAGCGAACCCTCGTAAAACCGCCGCCATTCGGGATTGCCCAATGCCGGCCATGGGTGTGCCTTGATTGAGGGTACTCTTTTTGGGTGACGGGAAAAGAGCAGCTTTTAGAGTGCGACAGACCCAGAACTTGAGCTTCGCCGCTTTTCTTGGACCTTGTTCTTATTGAAGAGGCGCACGGCTTGCCGGCGGAGAGCTTCGTGGTTTCCGCGCCGAGTGCCCTACGCATCCGGACTGGCGACAAGGAGCAAACGCCCCTCGAAAATACGAAGGCGGCCAAGCAGGCTCGTGGTAAAATGGTGAAACGGGCCCCTGGCTTCAGGGGTCCTGATGGCCGACTCCGGCGCGATAGGCCTGGCGGCGAGGCGGTAACAAAAATGGGGCCCTGGGCTTGATCTCCGGTGGAGCGAGTGCTTCTTGAAGCTTGACCTGAGGAGCCTCCAAAGAAAGCTGGGTTCTTCGTGGACTTTTTTTCACCACTTGATGCCAAGATCTGTACAAAACGGCAGCCGGTTTCCAGTCAGGGACATGGCCTAAGGCAAGGTGGCCGAATATTTGACCCTTGACGCATATGGAGGGACCCACATCCAGAAAACGCACCAGTTTTTTGTCCCGTAAGATTTCGCCCTTTGCTCAAAGGGGAGTTCCGCTTCCAAGCCGAGCGAATCGATTGGGATACCCTTGCAGTGGGTTTGTGGTTGCCAAGGGCCCTCTATATCTGGTCCGCAGGTTCCTTTTGTCAAACTCTTAGTCGATGGTTTGGATTGGTGATTTGGATTTGAATCCCTCGTTCTTGTAGATATGGAAACCACCCCGGAACACCTCCAAACCACCAATCCAAACCACCAATGAGACGCAATGAACACTTGGGCAATTGGAGCAAGGGACAATCCCAGCCATAAATGGGTGCTGCCGCCTGTTCAATTCTTGAAGCATGGTTCGGAGTAGACCATTTTGTTTGTTACCGAACGGTTTTGATGACCAGGTGTTCATACCATATACCAGTATGCCATTTCTACTAGGTGTTCACACACATGTTTATTCCATATTTTACAATTTCCATACCAGGTTCATACCATGTTTATACTATTTTTATGCTATTTTGCCGACTCAGCTTCGAGGCACTCCCATGGATTTGGGGTCTTGCTCGGGACAAAAAGAGCGCGTCGAGGTGATCCCATGGCCGCGCCGGACATGGCGTGTCCCATCGAGTGGGCCCGGGGTCCCAACAAAAATCCAGTGGTTCCTGGACTTTGTTGTTCGTTTTGGGGGCGGGGGGCTCAGATGGTTGGACTTTTACGGTTGTCTTGGGGGCGACTCAGATTTTCTTTTTGGTGTTCCTGGACTTTGTGCGCGGTTGTCCTGCGACTGTCACGCCCTGCAACCCGAGTGGACTGTATTGTCGCTTCCGCACGGCTGTTTCTCGGGAAGTCAGGAGGATTTCCCGGGTTTCACCTCGTCTTCGGTCGTGGGTTTTACCTTGTCGTCGGTTGGGGGGAAGGAGTGGGGGGGATTCGGTGGGTTTCGGTCTCCTTTTTTTTCTTTTTCTTCTTTTTCTTAGGTCGTAGTCGCTTTTCTTCGTCTCTGGATTTGGCAAGGGGCTAGGGGTCTCCACGCGTTTTGCGTTTTTGGCGTTCTTGCTTTTGGTGTTGGGTGGGCCTGGGAATCCTGCGAGGGCATAGGGTTTGGAAAGTCACTCCAGGGCAAGAGGGCGAGGATTGTTTCCTTTTGTTGGGTTGGTTTTCCTCAGCAAAAGACGAATGATTGACGGTGGCCACTGGATCAGGTATGGGTTTGGTAAGCAGAAAAGGTAAGACAACTATCAAGGAAGCCTTCTTGCGGAGCCGCGTTTTGAGGATCTTGTTGGAAGCACGCTTTGGGGAATCACCCTGTAAGAAGCCAGTTAGAAACCACCTGCCGGTTCAGGTGCGGGGGGGTGCCCTTTCTGTGTCCTTCGGGCTGAGAATGTGATTGGTTTGCAGACGCAGCTTGCTGGATGGCAGGGACTCTAGAGTTAAATTGCAATTCGTGCCATGTCGACTCCTTCAAGGATCCAACACCGCTTAATATGTTCAAAACTCAGGGCCCGGTCGAAAGGACACCATGCATTTCACCAGGGGAACCAATCTGACTTACGGGGGTCGTCATTGCTGGTTTGTGAATTCCAGTAAGTCCAGCTGCAATCTGTCAAGGCAGGCGCGATGAGCTTGCCAAAGACGCCAAAGCCGAGGCCCTGCTTCCGAATCCCTTTTCGGAAGCACAAATGGGGCGCCACCACCAATTGTTAGACCACCCGCTTCGCCGAGTTGAACGCGGTCCAAGTTCGCCACGCCGACATACTTGGCAGACAACTGCGAGTGGATGATTCAGCTGATTCCCTTGTGGAACCATGACAAAGCTGATGGTGCGCGCCAGAAGTGGAAGGATCACTAGGAGTTGGCGGTAATTCTTCAGCAGGAACGTCCCACCGTGAATGGACAAAACCCTGCACAAGTTGCAATGGACGGAACCCAAACAAAACGCTGGACTTACCAATTGGTGCAGGATTCGTCCATCCACAGTAGTCTTAGAGCACACCTAGAACCCTTGAAATCCTTTGTTGAGAGAACTTTGCTTTTGGCGGGGCTTGGTGGAGTTTGGCTTTTCTCGGGGGTATCCAGCAAGCATCCGGGTGTGCTAGACTTGACCAACCCTTTTGCCCTGCACTTCTCGTATTTCCCCCTTTGAAAACACTTCCCTATATGTCCCCTAACATCATCCCCAGTGATGTTTAAAACCACAAGGGAAGCCTAGAAAACCTTGTGAAACCGCAACAAGTTTGGCCCAGCACGGCAGGTGTCGCTCTTATTTCTGCCAACCCGGGCCAACTCTTTTTCTTTCCCATTGCACTCTTTCTCTTTCCCATTGCCGCTCTTTTGGGCTGGGGTTTGATGAAAGAATCAACTAGCAAGGTGTTGTCTCTTGACATCAACCCGACAAGGGTGCTTGGACTTTTTCTCCCGTGTTTGGGCTTGGCTTCAAAGGAACCCAACGGGAGTCTACCGAACTTTTGGAACCCATTTCCCATTGTGCCCCGCGTTCAGCTCCCAATTTTCGGTCGAGCTCTGGGGTTAAAGGAGCAACTCAGCCCCCGCGTTCTGCGGCCGCCTGCTCCTTTTTTTCATTGGGGCGTCCCACGTTTGCCATGGTCAAAAGACCTCTGTACTTGGGGTTAACGTTGGGATGGACATCCACCTGGTCGGATCCTTAACAGCCGTTATGTTTTCTGTTAAGGGAACCATGACCACAGAAAGTTCCTTCACACCAGCTAAGAAACCCTTGTTGAAACCACAACGTGACGAACCCTGCACCACCTAAGAAACCATGGTTGAAACGAAGCCACAAGGTTGGTTGGCATTTGCAGGGCAACCATAGGCTTCCTTTGTTAGGCGCAGGATTCCGTCCAGCCACAGTAGGCCGCAGGCTGGAAATCCATAACGTAGCTGGGCTAAGCTGAGTCGAGTAGCTTCGGTGTCGAGCTTCCGGGGTCCCAAACCAAATTTCAACCGCTGAACATGGGTGTGTCTTTTTCTGATTTCAAAAGCTGGCCTTGGAAGGAAACACCTGGACCTATGTGGGGGAGTCCCCTATGTTGGGACAACCCACATGCTGTATGAGATAGAAAGGCCCATGACACGATGAGCAGTTCCGAGTTAAGAACACAGAGCTAGGCATGTGCTATGAATGGCTTACTCTTGTGATCAGCATTCCGAAAGACAGAAGACCACACCCGAACATTCCTGGTCTTTAATTGCAGCGAGGTCTGCTTGAGAAAGAGAACTGGCGAGGTGGCTGGGAAACGCTTCAACAGCCACGATATCCTTTGGTGTGCTCACACGCCAGAACCGTTTGGCTGTAAAACAAGTTGGTTTGGTTGCTTTTTGCAAGCAGTGGTAAAAAGTGCCGACCAATTTGACCCCATGACCACCCCCCATGCAATTCAATGAATCTGACCCAAGAACACCCAAGCATAGGCTAGAAATATGGAACCTAATCCCAATCAGAGAAAGACGGGTCCTGCCCTGTGATGTACTTTTCAGAGTGCAACTGCTGGGAAAATCCCCACCTGGTAGTTCACGTAAGCTCTGTGTACCTAGCTGTATCTTTCCCACTGGGATCCTTTCTTTCAGAAAATGGCAAACAAAAACCTGGGGAACATTCTTGCAAGGGTCGCCATGGCGGCTGAAGAGCATGATTGGCCTTTTAACCAGGGATAGGCACGAGACACTCATTTTGGCCCCCACATGGATTCCTGTGTGTAGCATGCCAGAAGTCACAGCGCTTGCCTTGATGGGGGCAAACAAGGCCCATGTAAATCTCTATGACCATCTTGATAGAACCACAGGCGACTTGGTTTGGGCGCTTCTCACATGTTCTCCATGTAGATTTTCTGAAGCCCATCTGGCTGTTTCTCAAAAAGAGCGGCCTCCGAAAATGGTTGGCGTCCTTTGGTTGCCTTCAAGCAGCATTCCTAAAGGCTTTCCCACGTCAAGACCCAGAGCCTTGGGAATCGGGACCCTGGTCTTCCAAGAGCCTGGCGACTTCCCTGCTGATACAATATGGGCCTGCCTTTTGAAAGCTACCCTCCAAAATGCCCAAACCGGTTTTCTTTCCTTTTAATTTCCCCTGCAAGACCCAAACCCAAAAGGGTACCCTCAGACTTGACCCGCCTGTTTCCCAGGCTCCGCCCACCCCAGGCTCGCGGCGCGCGGGCTGGGGGTTTGGGCCCCCCTCACTGGAAGCCGTGCGGACGGAATGGGTCTGCCTGTCTTGTAGGTGCCTTCAGGAGTTGGTACCAGGGGACAACCGCCATTTTCTGGGTCCCTAGATACCCAACTTGCTGGCAGTCGAGAAGGCTTCCTTGGGAGGGCGAGAAGGGGAGTGAACGTCTCCAACTTCCCGGCATGAATTGGGAATGAGGGGTTTGTGTCGAGACTCAGACGCCGGCACATGCGATGCGCGTGTCTGCTTTTGTGCGTCTGCGTGGCCGCAGCGCTTGCGCAGAGAGAAAGACACAACGAAAGACAAAAGACAGAAAGGGAGAAAGAGAACGAGACAGAGGATGAGAGAAAGACAGAGAGAAAGAGGAAGAGAAGGAGAAAGAGAGAAAGAGAAGGAGAGACAGAGAGAAACAGAAAGAGCAAGAGCTGATGATTCTCCGGAAAAAAGTGCCGTGGCCTGACAAAGCCTGGGCCCTTTTCCCTTTACAAGGTGGGAAGATGTATCCCTGTGAACTTGGACGCCCTTCCTTTACCGGTCGCTTTCTTTTTTTTGCTTACGACCTTGCATCCGAATGATATTCAGTGCCGACGGGATCATGACAGCACCAGAGAAGTGAGATATGTTTGTGCCTGGTAGCGTACAGAGCCTTAAAAGGAATCGAGCTCCGTCGTTATGGTCGAACCGGGAAAGAAGCCGTGCATGGCGGTTTTGTTTGTTCCTCGACATTGGGTGTAACCCCCTCCAGTTTGCAGCCCTTTTGTTTGGCTTCCATTCGGAGCTATCCAAAATGGATTCCCTTGTGACAGACGCCTCCTCCATTTTTCTCCTGGTTTCCAAAAAAAATTGGGGTCGTCGTTTGGCGAAAAAGGAGGAGAGGCAGATTGGGGAAGTGGAATTGCATGACTTCCGGTCATCCTTAGGCGGTTTGGTTCTTTGGGCGTTTGAAAATCTGGGAACCCTCCTGAACCACCGAGCCACCGACTCCTAACTTGCGGAGCTGATGTGTGGAACTGGCAGGTTGAGTCTCGTCATTGGCCAGTGCCATCGATTTTTCCAAAAGGAAGCATGGGTGGAATCCCATGAATGTCAGGTTTTTTGGAAAGCAGCCAAGTCGCAAGTTGCGTCCGCGAGAGGCACAAGACCCCAGTGCCGAGGCTGGGGGCGTGCTTGCGACGAGTTTTACTTCAGTTTGGTTCATGACTGGTCTGGAGGGAAGCATGTTTGCATTGGGATGATTTGATAAGTTTGTTCTGCCGACTATCACTGTGATATACTTAATGATATGTGTTCTATCGGGGCCGACTTGCCCAATGAAGGTGATTTGATTTGGTTCAGGACCAGTGCAATGCCACCAGGTGGCCGACAGGGAAAACGCGCCACTTGAAAAGGGCAACACATTTTTCTCAGAAAACAAGCGTCGGGAAATCCGTTTTGGATTGGTTTGGGTTCATGATTACACATAGCTGTGGGTCCAAACCAATGGTACCATTTTGGCCACATGACATCAAGCGATACTTCAGCCAATTATCATTTGGCGTGGGGCCAGTCAGAAGAACCAGCTGCTGCAATTGTTGCTTGCCGTCCTCTCAGCAATGCATGGGAAAGCTATTCAACTTTGACGTATGGTCGGCAAGAACCTGAGGACACTGTGTTCAGCGCATGCAAGTCTTATGCAAGTCTTGACAGCCATGCTTTGTGCGATATTGGCGAAACTGCTCTGGGCCAAATGACACATACTTCGAGGAATACCGACTGACTTCTTCAGAGCGATGATGTGCTTGCACTTTATGAGTATATATATATATATATACACATGTAATCACATATATATATATATATGATACGAGGAATACTAGACACGGGGTGTAGCCCTTTGATGTTCTGTTTCTCTTGCACCAACATGGCCGGCGTTTGCAGAATTTGTGTTCCAACAGAGAACCAAAAGAGGGTGGGACGCGGGCCAGCGGGTCATCGCTTGAAACAAAACAGGCAGAGTCTTGGGAGGAAATCTGTAAGAGTTTCAGTTTCGGGGAGCTCCAACTCAGCCCCTGTTTAGTGGCAACCAACAATTTGGCCCTTTCTGGGGCCAATCCTCTTGGGAATTGCCCTCACTCCCACTAACCAACATGGCACCTGTGGGAGGGACCTGGAAGATCAAGTTCCTCTTGGAGGGACCATTTCCTTGTCAGGTGCCACGTTAGTGGGAGGGAGGGTATATGGTTGGATCTTTGGACTTCAACTTTTTTGTTGAAACACTGGGTTTGCCAAGTTTTGGACCCACAAAAAACTTTGTGCAGAGGGGTCACGACATGAAACCAACACCGGGCCGGGGGTTCGGCTGCAGGAAGGCCGGCCAATGCGGCGGTGCGTGAGGCGCGGGGGGAAAAAACCCGGGCGCCTTTGCGCCCTGCAAGCGACCACCCAAATTGGGGTTTGGTTTGGGGGGTGGTTTTTGGCCCCTCCAAAAATTGGTCTGATTCCCCACACTTCACCAAGTTGGACACCCCCATATTAATAAACGGGGGGGAGGGGGGACACCTCTGTATTAATAAACGGGGGGCGGGGACGTTTTACGGGTGGCTGGTCTTTATTTGGAGTTGGTACCTTCTTTTCACATGGAACCTGACTGAAACGGGGGGGCTCAGGGTTGGACCATTTTCCTTGTAAAGGGACCGTGTCCCTGTTCCATGTTACTTGGTGGGAGGGTACCTTTTTTTTGTGGTTGTAAAGGGGAGCCAAAAGGACAGCCGCCATTTCGGGTCCCCCAAAACAAGACACAGGCCACCAGAGTAGCGCAGGAAGGGCCCTATTTGCGGATTCCTTATTTGAGTCATGTCCAGGGTTGCATGCAGTTTTTTCCGGATGTTTCGTGAAACGGGGTGTAGGTGGGAACCAACCAACAACGAACACCTTGCTGCCGATTTGGAGACGGCAGTGAAGTTGTTCTTTTTTTTCTTTTCTTTTTTTTCTGGATGTTTTATCTTCAGTTGTGTTTTGGGGGAGGCATGCTTGCAAGATCCATTTGAACACTGTCGGACCGGTTCATCAATATCAAATACTTGTTGGGGATCTACTCAAGTTCAGGTGTGTGGCAAAGACAGCCACTTTAGCGACTTCAGACAGGGTCCGGAGAATTCAGGATTTTGGTTCAGGAGTTTGAGTTGAGTTATTTACTTTCAGCCCCGGAGAACCGACCCTCAAAAAGGAGACACCGCGTGAGGTTCTCCAATGTGCATATCACCTTGAGACACGCCATCCCATTCTTGTCGAGGGCTAAGACTTCATATCTTGCTCTGTCTCCTGCTTTTCCAAGCAACAGTTGCTTGGCCTTCGATGGCAAAGGTGTGAGGCCGACGTTGTTCCTGGCATTTTCTATTTCTGATAGCCATGGCTCGACACCCAATGCGCCCCGTTCTGCCGGGTCAGGAGGGTTTTTGGGGGTAGACTGCCCTGTTGAAAGAGCCAACGGGTCCACTTCCGTTGGAGAAAGGGTGACCAGTTGACCCCAGAGTGCTCTTTTCGCCTCTCTTTTCTTCCTCAGAATTAGCTCCTCCTTTCTTTTTTTTTGGGATTTTTTGGGGTCCCTTTGTTTTCCACTAACCAGGCAAAGAAGCTAATTTTTTGCTGGGGTCCTACTTCCAGCCTAGGGTGGTTTCCTTTCAAGACAGCTACCCCACCACGCAGTAGCCCAACTGGTTTAGCTCGGGTCGGGAACAGGCCGCGGCGCACGCCAAGCAGCGCCCCCGGTGTCAAAAGCGAGCTGTTGGCTTTGGATTGTGACTTGGTTCCCAAAGGCAGAGCTAGTCATTTAGGGAGTGATCAAAAGGTCCTTTACATGGGGTGACCCTTGGGGGAAAAAAACCAAAAAGATGACTTTCACCACTAAATTGAAAAGGTCCCCATGGTCATTTTGGAATCCCCCATTGCAGAATCTCATGCCAAGCATTTGGAGTGGCCAGTTGCCCGGGAGGTTCACTTGGATGCGATCAGAGGGTCGACCATGACTCCCAGGAGTTGATGCAGCCGGCTGGATCGAAGATCTAGAGTCGTGCGGGTGACGAAGGGCTTTTGAGTCCTGGGGTCCAAAATCAAGGGTTCTCCCAATATAGTGATGATGGCCTGGGGCCCCGCCTCTAGAAGGATATCTGTCAAAAACAGCCCCCTGCCACCCCCCCCCCCCCCCAAAAAAAAAGGAGAAAGAAAGAAGAAATAAAAGAACGACAGACAACAAACAGACAACGTAAAAGAAGAAAAAGGCAGCCGAGGTTTCCTCTGGTCTTCCCCGAAAAAGCGACCCACCCAAATGGACCCCCTTAGGTCTTGGGCTCAAACCATCTGGGAGCCAGCCAATCCCAGGAACACTGTCAGGCAGCTGGATCACACGTTCCGGGTTCCGATGTTTGGTCCTGATACAGAAGAAACTTCTCCAAGTTCCCCAAGACTGGAGAAGGTCGACGCCCCCTCCCCGCAAGCTGGTGATCCTTGGACGCGGAAACTTGGCGACAGAAAAAACCTGGTTTCTTGGTGGTTCCCAGCTATCCGCTGAGGTTAGGTCGTTTCCACTTACGCCGCTGACTTTCAGCAGATCCCCTCTTTGTTTTGGTTTGTGAAATGACCCCCCCCCCCATTTGGGGTTTGAGAGACGCGAGCCCCTTGCGACATGCCCGGTTCCGTTTCCTGGGCATCCCCGTAGCACCTGAACTGCTGGGCGAATGCACCGGGCTACCTTCGCCATTTTTGGGGTCGGTGGCCCTTTTCTGGTGGTTGTTAAGGGAAACCAACAGGAAAGCCCGCCCATGTTGGGGGTTCACCCTTTAAAAAAAAAAACCCATGCATGTCTTTGGCAACTTTGCCCTCCTTTCTTCCAAAGGCCCCAAACAACATAGGGGGACCAAACCCATGACGTCAACAGGCACGCGAAAAACCGAGACTGAGGCCCACATTTTCCGAGCGTCGAGCCGCCTCTTGGCGAGAGATGAGTGTTGCCCACCCGCCCAAAGTAGCCTCGTAGAAATGGGACACCAGCCTCACAATGAACCAAAGCTGACCAAGAGGGTTATTTATCCTTTCACACTGGGGAATCCCTTTCAGATGGTGCTCAACCACAAACAGCCCCATTCTGATCGTTCAGCCCTGATATTACTGTGTAGTGAGTAGCGATCTGTTAGCGCATGGACGCCTTTACTGCTAGGACATCTCCAAACGTGTGCTAAGTGCGGATGGTCAAAATCCGGTTCACACCAATGCGGAAGGTTCCTCCCGGATACTGGTTGAAACACCATCTGGGCGTGAAGAAGTTTTGTCCATGCACAATACCAATGCCTTGGGCACAACGATTGCTTCGCACAGCTCATGTATACCGTATGCCAGTTTGGAGGGGCAGGCACGGGGAAGGTAACGCATGGTGTACACACCCAGCGATTTGACAGTCTTCTGGCTTTCTCTTCTAGGGGCCAGGGCTGGTTTTTAACAAAGTTTGCCCCAAGGAATCCTCCCTTGGCGATGGTGTGGATGGTTTACGAGTGGGTATCACAGACTTATTTGTGTGTGTGTCTTTTGTGAGAGTACCCGTTTTCTTGGTAGTTTTAATGGACGACCAACAGGAAAACCACCGTTTGTGCGCCGGGGGGGACCGTGCCATGGACACCTGGAGTCTATTTTGCCACCATACCCTTAAACAAAAACAATACCCTAAAAGAAGGAGTTTGCCCAAACTAGGCCCTAAGTGTCCACCATGGGGGGGGGGTTGGGGGGCGGGGGTTCCCCAATACGAAATGCAAACAGTCATAGGTTTTTGTAGGTGTTCTATTTAAACCTAAACCCTGAAACCAAGAGACCCGAAGCCCTAAACCCCTGAAATGACACCCCTCCATTTTCCCTCACCACTCCGAGCGGGTCGCGGCGCCGAGGACGCTTTCGAGCGGCCGCCTCCGCCCCCGAGAAGCCCGAGCTCCGCGATCCTGTTCCCGCTGTCCACGCTGCCCAGCTGGGCCGACATCAACGAGGACCTGCGAAAGGGAGTTGGACGGTCTCGGTGGGAGACCCGGTGGGTCCAGGTGGCTGTGGAAAGGAAAGCACAGCACCAAAAGCACGGGCTGGAACCCGCTTCGGGGGTTGTGTGTCTTTTCGAGGCCATGGTTTCCAAGTAGGGGGTTAAAAGGAAACCAAGAAGAAACCCATCACTTCCAGGAGAATGTCAAGTTTGGGTTGATCCTGAAGACTGTACTAGTCAAGGGACTTCCCCTTTACGTGGGTTAATCAGGGTCAACAAGATGCACTTCTTGCTTTAGAGCTATAGCGGTGGGAGCCATTCACTTCAACCTTGTTTTTCTTAATGGTTACTTCGTACTCACCGTTTGACTCTGGTGGCTCCCCGGGTTCTACTCTAAACAGACACTTTGTTGATGCTACCTTTCAAAGGGAATTAGTTGAAAGGGAAAGTAAATGGTAGAAGCATTTTTTGCCCGTTGAAAGGGAATGGGTTGAAAGGGAAACTGAAGGGAAACTAAAGGAACACCCCCCCCCCCATATGGGTTGAACACGTCATCATTTTTGCGTGGGCCTCCGCTTTGAGACATACTCAGATGAGGTTCGGTCCAAGTATTTGATAGTCTATGGTCCACTTCACAAACCAGAGCGCGCCCAAATTTTCCGATGTCCATTGCAGAAACCGCGGTATTTCTAAAGGGAGATGCTCCAGTCTATTCATCGTTTTGTTGCGGAGAAGCCACACCATGTTTTCCAAAAACACCTGGGTGGGTACGGACGGTCATGACCCCAGTGGGGATTTCAGACAACCATTGTAAGGTCCCCGCGGGACGCCATGACCAATACCGACAACTTAGGAGCTGTTCACTTCTCACATGAGGGTGCTTTTTTGCAATGGTCAGGCCTTCTTTAGCGAAAACCAGGGGGAAGCTAGCTCACAACTCTAAATCTGACCAAAGCCAGGGCAAGGAATGGGTCTCTCGATTTTCCATTTGTTGGGGGAAGCATTACTAATTTTGACCATGCCAATGGTGTCTCTTGTTTGAGGGCACCTTTTTCTCACCTCAAGGGCAACCGAAAGGAGGACCAAAGCCATTTTTCGAGTTCTTTCCAGGGATCCTTCTTTCTAGAAAACCACCAGAAAAACCCTCGGGAAACGGATCCGGTTTTTGAAAAGAACGATGGCTGAAAATAATGGAAAAGGAATCAACCCCTAGAGGTAGCGGATCTTTGGACTTTAATTTGTTGGTTGAACCAATGGATTGTCCGATCCATTTCCAGATTGACATTGTTTTCTTTTGCGGAGGGGCCAACAGCAACCAGGTCAATCTGGAATCAAGCCCATGGTTTTGCAGAGAGGCCAACCCCTGGAGCTTTGGGGGACCGACATGGTTTCCCCCCCATTGTTCGAGAGCGCGAGGAGCTTCGGGAGGTCTTGGCGCAGACGCTCGGCAAGACTCGGCTCGCGAGACCAGATCTGCCTCTTTAGGGTCCCGTTCGGGGGACGTAAAGGGATCGGAAAAAAAACACATAAACTGAACTGAGTTCTGTTTGTCAAATAGAATTGAGTTCTGTCTGTTTAGTAGAATTGAGTTCTGTTTGTTTCTTTGGTTCTTTGTTTCTTTGTTTCTTTGTGATTGTTGAAGATGATGTTCACTTTTTGGGAAGTCGCAAGCTGGGGTTGTTTCTCCAGCTACCACTTGAGGGCCGCAAAAGGGGCTTGGCAACTTTAAGATCATAAATTCAGCGTTAAAACATTCCTTGCAACACCGGGGTCCCCTGCCATGCGCCCTGCCGCCCCCTTGCCCCTCAAAGAGTAGCAAGGTAGGGTTTATGATTCAGGTTTCAGGTTTCGGGTGTAGGGGGGTTTCATCTCCCCGCCTCTCCGCCTCTCCTTCTCACGGCCTACAGCTTGGCTCGAGTGCCAACAAACTGAGGAATCTGCGTGGGCTGCTGCCCTTTCTGGGTTTTCGGGGGTCAAACTCCAGCATTTCATCGAGGTTCCCTTGCCCCAAAGATGTGAACCAGGGTGCCACTCCTCCCACACATTGACGTGTTGGCAAATTCAAACACGTCAGCCAGATGTGACTGAGCTCGCTCGGAGAAAACTTGAGCGAGCTAAGGCTCACCCACTGGGGGGATTCCTGAATTTCCGGTTGGGAATAGAATCCTTTTGCGTTTCAAGGCTATCACCATCGAACATATTTTGAGTTTTGGAAGGATTTTTTGAATCGCACTTCCCCCCCAAAAAAACAAGTCAGGGAAGGGGAGCACAAGTTACCGCAACAAAATCCCGTTTCTTTTTTTTTGGTGTGTGCGCATGCGTGTGGATTTCTCATATCAAATCCACGACCGTGCTTGGATTGGAGCCAAAGGAGCTCAGCGTCAGCTTTCGAAGAAAGAAACGGCAAACGGTTCAAAGAGTTTTACTCGGAGAGCTCGTCAAAATGCTCACTGGACCCACAGGATTGTGAGAGATCCCCTCAACATTTTGGCAGACGAATTAAATCGTAGTGTGGATGGTTGCGAAATCCATCTCGCACCGTTCAGAAACCCTTGTTTATCATGATTCCCCAACGCACATATCAACAAGCCTTGTGGTTTCAGTTCGGTGGCACGATTTCTGGATTTCGCAGCAAATTGGATGACGCAACCATTCAGATTCAACGAGCACTTCCAAACCAGGGTCTTTGACTCGGCTTCTTTTCGTCCCAGGAACGGCGAGAAAGGCAGGTCCTTGTCTTTCAGACTACAGCAGGCGTGCTGCTGGGCGGGATGGTGGCTTTTGTGCGCGGGAGTTGTGGTTCAACACTTGGCTGTGTCTTTTTGAGGCCCCCCAAAATGGAGTTGTCTTTTCGGTTTCCCTTAAGCACCAAAAAAGGTGTACCCTTAAGAGGACATGCCCCACTGGAAAAAGGGGGTTGTCTATGATGAGAGATTGCAAGTCCTAAGCATGAGTGCCTTGCAAGGAACCGGCGGGTAACATGTTAACACAGGTCGTGTTCACAAGTCTAAGTGCTTCCTTGTAGATCTGTTCGGGTTGGTCGGGACACCACACCCTTTCCTTTGGGAACCAACGACCCATGATGTGATTTTCTTTGCGCGCCGGAAAGGGCCTGCCGAATGGTGGGCATCCGCAAGCCACCACGCACCGGCCCATGGGCTTAAGCTAAGTTGTCCCTCAAGGGACGCTGGGCCTCAGTCCACAGTAATGTTGACCCAGGATTACTAAACCCGACCCACTATTAGGGGGGTGTTCCCTCCAAAAGTGGTCTGAATCCAGCCACTACAAGGGGACATCTTTCGATCAGAATCAACTGATCGGGGTTCTGCTTCCGGGGGTAACATTACGTGGGTGGCTTCAGGCAGAGAGAAACCTGGCGGAGAAGGACTTGCGAATCGAAGCGCTGGAGGCGAGCGTCCGTCTCGTTGGCCGCGTTGGGCGTCCCGTTAAGAAACGAACAGGTCGAACCCCCTTGTTGACTGCCCAGCGGGTTTGTCCTTCTTTTTTTTTAAAATGGCCGACCCATTTTGGAGGTTGGGGTTTTGGGATTGTGTGTGTGTGTGTGTGCATGCGCTTTTGGAGGGTACCCTTTTTAGGGAAACCAAAAGAACTATGTAATTTTTGTGGGTCCCCTTTTTCGCAACACACACACACACACACACACGCACATATTCCTTTGATGGGCTAGGTTCTGACTCACGCCACGCTAGGTTTTCCGGTTGACTTTTCCCTTTGGGGGAAAATCAAGGGGCTCCCCAAACCTTTGCACACGACGTGTGGGCAAAATCCCTAGAAGGGGTGTTCACCATTGGCACTATTTTCCCCTAGTGGGATGGCAGGGGCCTTTTGGGGAGCCCTGAGAAACCATCTAAAAGCCCCAAGGCAGGAGGCAGGTCTTATGGCAAAGATGTCGAGCTTGAGTCTTGGGTAAACAAAGCCCCTCGGAGTCCATGAGGTCATGACTCACGTGTGGCTCATGTCACATGCCGTACCCCTTTGTTGGGCGGGGGACCCTAGATGAAGAGTTGGTTTCCTCGTGGTTTCCTCACGTTTTCAACACACAAATGGCCTTCAATCTAAGGACAGCCTGCGCTTGCCATTGTTCCGCGGACTGTGTTGGCGTCAGATTTAGCCCTAAACCTCACCCCCCAGTCCCCAATCCCCAACCCCACCCCCAACCCCAAACCCCAATCCCCTAACCCCACCCAACCCCACCCAACCCCCACCTCCACCCCCCCCCCAGCCAACCCCGACCCGAGGCACGCACCTCGCGGCTCGCTGAGCGGCTGGCGCTGGCCGAGGGGCTGGCGGCGCCCTCCAAGGCCTCGCTGGCGTCCCAAAGGGAGACCCATGGCTGTGTACAAGGCACCCCTTCAAAAAGGGATAGCCACAAAAAAGACAGACCCATTTGGGTGTTGTGTTTTTTGTTTTGTTTTTGTTTTTTAGTTTTTGTGTGTGTGTGTGGGTGGGTTGTGTCTGTTTCTGTGCTCTGGCTTGAATGTGTGTTGTGGGGCATCCCTAGATTTTTCACCCTTGGATGGTTTGAACATCACCTTTTGCGTCGCCATTTCAAGGTGGGCTTCCTAGTGGGGTGATACTTTCAGGTTGGACATCTAGGGACCCGGAGCCTGCGGCTGTTCGTTTTTGGCTGGAAGAAAGGGATGCATTGTCACAAACCAGGAAACTCGTGCACAAAGGGAAGTAGTTGGCTTTGGCATTTTTTGTTGTTTAATTATTTTATTTTTCTGCGGCCCTCCTTTCGGCAATGGACATGGATGGGCCGATTTATACAAGTGCAGTGTCTTCCAAGAAGCCCTTCTCTCAGGTTGCATTGTTCTTTCCCCCAAAGCGTTACGCCCTCGTACAGCAATCAGCTCCGCCAACTTCGGCAGGGTGTCAAAGCGAGGGCTGCGTTTGAGCCGTTGCACCGACCCCAGGAAACAGATGGACATCCACCAAACGCACCAGTTGGGATGAATGAAGCCACCGGGACAAACCTCACTTGCGAGGTTCGGTCGTGATGAGATGGTCCGTTTGAGAGAAATCTGGACAAACGAGCCCTAAAAAAATCGCCGTGGTCGATTTGGGCGTGTCTTTTTTTTCTCCTTTTTCCGGAGGTACCCTTTCTGGGGGTTGATTTAAACGCACACCAAAGGGAAACCAAGGCAGTTTTTTTGTTTTTTTGGGGGGGGTGGGAGAGGGGGTCCAACCTTAAAAAAGGACGAGCCACGGCAACGGTTTCTTCTGCCACCGCCCGACTTCAGTCGGCTGGCTAAATTTGACGAGGGTTCCATTGTCGCGGATCGAGGAAGCGCTCACCTAGGGCTTCAAGAACCTGTAACAACACTCGTACCCTGACTAAATCATGATGTTTTTTCTTGCTTTGCTTGACTCATTTTTGTCGTCTGAATGCATGAATCGGATTTCCCCTGGTTGAAAAATGCGCCCTAATAAGCACATCATCGTTCAGAACCAAGTCCTGTCCGCCCGTTGCGGGTCAGATGCGCACAAATCCAGGAGCCGGGCACCCCATGCTCCACCAGGCGCAAGCGCTTGCGCCGCTCAAGCGGCTGGCGGGGCTGTGACCGTGAAGGCTACAGTTGTCTCCAAAAAACATGCAACATACAACAATGGACATACATGGTAGGTATGTGTATGTATATATATATATATATATGGTTGTGTGTGTGTGCGCGTGTGTGTGTGCGCGTGTGTGCGTGCGTGTGTGTCTTCTTTTTTTTCAGCGGTACCCTTCTTGGGGTGTCTGAATCGATTCCCCTGTAAATACCAACAGTGACAGTGATTTCCATGGCTAACAAATCGTGCGAGAGGCGGATGACTCGCAACCAGCTCCTTGGGAACTGGGCCCCTTGAGTTCGACCCATCCCTTTCGAGCAGCTTCTTGATGGTTTCTAGACTTGCAGGTGCTCAGTAGAAAAAGTAGTCTCCTCTTTTTCTTTTCTTTTTTTTGGGGGGGGGGAGGGGCGGGGGAGTAGGATTTTTGTTGGAGCGCCAAAGATGTCGCCTTCGGCGAATGGCCTACCCTCGTGTTGGTCGATTTTCAAGGGAAACTACCTCGCTGTCCCAAGGGGTGCAGAAGGATCACCAAGCAAGGAACGCCATTTACTCCGCAACGCGGAACCCGAAGAAAAAGACATTCATTTGTAGAGGAGGCTCCTTTGTCAACCCATAAGGCAGTCGATAAGGTGGGCAGGATCACAGACACTGACTTGCGCGTGGCCATGCAGGGGCATGTGTCCAAGGAGATGCACAGGCTTCAAGAGAACATTTCCCAGGTCTATGACCACTGATTCTTGCACCAGCGCCCACTGAGCAGTGGATCGCGATGGTCGAAAGCCTGATGGCGAGAACACCGCCGAGTTGCAGCGGACACCCTTGCGTCTACGAATGAGAGCGAAGACCCTAGTTCAAATGAGCCTCACTGGGATAGAAGTAGTTGGTCAATCTGGATTTTACCGATCTGCTGAGACAATGCAGGCATCCAAAATCTGAGCCTACAACACACCCCAGACACTTTGGCTTCTTTGGGGAAAATAGTTATTTTCCCAAGCTGCAAACTGTCAAACACTTGAGGGCCTTGGGGGGCCTTGCTTGGATGACCACCGTGGTGAATATCCCCAGCCACTTAAGGGCCTCTCTCTGGTACCAAGGTGGTCCAAGCAGGCTTTCACTCTAAGCTTCTTGTGGGTTTGTCTCAAGATGGGGAAGCCTGATTACCCTCCCAACAGCTAACATGGAAGTGTACAGACCCCAGTAGAAAGATACTTTCCTCTTGGAAAAGGCATTTTTGCGCTTCCATGTTAGTTGGTGGGAGGGTAATACCCCCCACCTATTATTCCTTTTCGCGGGAATCCTTTCTTCCAGGTGCCCCCCTGATTAATAGCTGGGGTTTGTTCATCAGGAGTCAACATCAAAGATGACCCGACAAAGGTAGCGAATCAAGCAAGTATTCGCACAAAAGGAATATACCGAATCAAACATGGTACCCTGGATTGACGAAACAATGCACCGCTTTGAAACCATGGTTGAAGCCATATCGTTTGTTGGTATTTGCGTTGGGGAATCGAATCAGACACCAGCGCAACCATCCACTGTAGTTCTTCACGTTGGCTTTCCTTTTCTTTTCGAAAAGGTAGAAAAACCGAATCAAGATGGTACCCTTTTTTGTTTGCCCTGAGCCATATTGGGTATGGACCAGCCGTAGAGGGTGCTGATTGGCTTCTTGTGTTTTTTCTTGCTGCTGCTCAGTAGGGAATGCGGGAATTTCACCCAGGGATTGGTGCCCTTAAAGGAAACCACCAGTTGGATGTGTTGTTTCTTCTCTTTTGGCTCGTTCCAACTTTCATTCCCTGCATCTCTCGCACATTCTCATTATACGGCTCGTTCCAATTCTCATTCCCCAGCGAGAAATCGTTCCCTCCCCAAAAAAGGAGGAATGTGGAATGTGGATGGTAGATGGAAAGAAGCGGAATGTGGATGAGCTTGGAGACCCATGTATGGTTTCGCGCATTCTCATTGCCTGAGCACCAGCCGGGTTTTTCCCTCCCCCCCAAAAAGAAATCGGCCGGGCCCCGCGCCAACAAGCCGCGCTCCGCCGGGCGCGGTTCGCTGGGCGAAGGGCGCGTCGCCGTCGCGCGCGAGGTCCACCTCGGACTCCACGGCCTGGCACTCCGAGGGCCTCACGCGCAGGACCGGGCTGGGTCCGGGCTTTTGGCGCGTGGTTGGTGGGGGGGGTTGGTTGGTGGGGTGGGTGGGGGGAGGTGGGGTGGGGGTGGGGATTATTTCTTTTTTTTGGGGGGAGTAACCCTCCTGGTTTTGGGGGTTGGGGAAAGGGGAAGCCGAAATGAGGGAGATGAACAATTTAAGGGTGATTCTTTGGAGATACAGAAACATTATGGTCCTGTTCTAAGGGGTTCTTTTAAAGGGAAGCCGAAAGGAGGAGACAACATGTGCCTTGGTCACAAGACAGGTTCCTTTACTTGGGGTTGAACAGGGATGGCCTTGCACCTGGTAGTACGGATCCTTAAGAACCATGACAATGAGTTTATTGATGGAAGCATGGCCATAGGCCATACAGAAATGGTCCAAATGGGTATGTGTCATAGGGAGACACCAAAATGGCTGGATTTTCCTTGCTTCCCTTGAAACCAAGCTTGAGGGTAGCCTTCGCCTCAACAGAACACGCAAATGGGGTGGGGTTCAAGTCTCGCTGGTTCTCGGGGAAGGAGGAAATGCGTCCTGGCAGTTTCCCTTAAAGGAGACACCGAACGGTTCATGCCCGCAACCCCTAAATTGACACCCTGAGAGCCAGTTTGGAGTGGTACACCTAGGGAAGTCAGTGCCTGCCCGAAAATATCAAAAACTGCAGAGGGGATTCCCTGCAAAGCCAAGAAGGAAGTCAGCGCAAGTTTCCCATCAGCATGTAAGCGCACAGTCACCTTCTGGACTCCGTTTCTCTTGGGTCCGGGGTCCTGTGCACCAGTTGCCGGGACCAAAACACCAGACACTCCATAGGGGCTGGTTACTGAACCAGAGCCCTTCACTTGGGTCGTCCCTTTCGCTTTGACCCAACCCCAAAAGGGGCATCGTGTTGGCCAAGGGCTGAATTCCATGTGGATGCTTGGGAGGGCCTTAGCATTGGTCCGATCTTTGTTTTCCTGCCGCCTTGTGGCCATCGATGCTAGCAATGCCACCCACCCCCCCCCCCCCCCTTCCCCCCCTTGAAGTGACAGTTCGATGGTCAACTCCCCAGTGGCAATTCCCACAACCCAGACGAAACGGCGCGCTTGATGGTAAGCCCATGGTAAATGCCCTCTCATGTCCGGCATCTTGGAAAAAGGCTTTCGCCCTACCCTTATTCAGCCTTATCCTTGACAAGACCAATAGACCCCCCTGATAGAAAGACTCCCACACCAGACTTTGGGGGCTTTGGCCGAAGCCAATAGATCCAGAGTGGACGGACAATATCCACAAACCACCACCTCAAATGGTCGAAGCCCTATGAATTCCCAACTGGTGCAAAATGGAAAATTTGTCCATCCACAGCAGGAATGGACTTTTAAAATTCCCTACGGGGGTCATGACCATCCTCAACCCCGAGTCACCAGGAGTTTTGACAACTTCGCACATGGGTATGTGTCAAAATAGGTCAAGAAAGGTTGGTTTCCTTTAGGCGTTCCTTTCAACCCACCTACAAAATCATGGCGCCCTCAAAACTTGGTGGTTCCCAGCCGTCCCGTTAGACCCTTAGTTCTTTAGTTGGTTTCACCTTTTAAGAGGGGATCTGAAACCGAGCCCACCGCCAGAGCTTCGGTGCCTCAGACCCGGCCAGAGCGGCGTTTGGCGTTTGGCGTTTGGCCAGGAACACCTTGGAGAGCTTGGGAAGCCTCGCCAGCCTCACCTCCGCCCAGACGCTCAGAGAGCCATGGGGGTGGCCTGAGTGTGAGTGGGTTCGTGGGTGGGTGAGTGGGTAGATGGATCTGTGTTTAGTTGTTTTGTTTGGTTTTCTCTCGCCCCTCGTTGTTCTTGTTTTTGTTCACCGCCAGCTCATTTTGCCTTTTGGAGTACACTTTCCCCAACCAGCCACCATGCTTTTTGCCCGGGGGGGTCTCCGAAAGGCCAGAGGATCCAGGGGCTTCGGTTGGCGCTGCCTGCAGCAGCTTGCCTTCCCCAGTTAGCCTCAGCGATCCATATTAGTTGGTTTCGGACCGGATGTTGCCACCTGGTGCCAGTCCGATAGTTGTTTTCTTCTTTTCTTGTTTTTTTCGTAAATAAATAAGTAAATAATGCAACAAAGGTTTCTCACACCCCAAAGTCGGTACCCCTCAATCAAGCCACACAATCGACAACACATTGTGTGAACATAGTGCGTGGTTTCCCTTGTTTTTTTTGTAGAACCCACAGAGTCTACCCACATCGGGTAGCCTCCAATTGCTGGATTGGATTGCTGGTTTGGATTTGAACCCCTGGCCTTTGTGGAGGAGAACCCCCTCCATTTCACTGCCAAACCACTGATTCGGCTCCAAACCACCCTGTTTTTTTTCTTCCTCCTTTTTTTTTCTTCCTCCTTTTTTTTCCTCCGGGTTTTCAGACCTTTGGTATATGGTCATGTGTGTCCATAGGAACAAGGCAAACCCTGTCATTTCCCCCCATTTTACCAGGGTGATTCTAAGCTGTTGATGCACTTGCGATACGCAAGAGCTACCTGCCAGCTTTTTCAGTCACTGTTGCTGGTTTTTGGGGTAAAGTGGATGAACAAGAAAAGCCGCCACTGGCGATCCAGGCACCTGTTTCCTGTTTCCGGGCCGAACATTTTGGACCAAGACCCCAGCCCTTCAACTCCCCGGGTCGACCCGATTTAGGGTCGACCCGGTCGATCGCTTCGTTGAGGCCTCCAAGACCAGCACGGTGCCCGCCTTGGAATCCGAGAGCCAGCCGTCGAAGCCCCGAAAGCTGCCGCCCAGCAGTGTTTTTTTCGCTTATGGCTGGCGCCGCCTTTTTAGGTGAAGGGTACCTCTGAGTTTCAGGAGAAGGGTCAGCTTTTTGGGGTTACAAGGTAAGCCAAATGAAAAGCAACCCTTGTTGGGGGCGGTTTAAAGGGAAGCCAGATGAACAACAAGTTTGCGAATCCCCCAATTTTGAGACACCAGGATCCGCATTCGACCTTTTGCTTTTCCTGAATCTTCAGTACCAGCTGGATCGTTTTTGAGCGACCGCAAAAATCGCTGGGCGCTGGGGGTTTCCCTTTTCAAAAACCAACCCCAAAAGGGCCACTCCAAACACAGGAACCGTCAGCTAGATCTCGTAAAACGGACATGGCATGCATTGAGAACCAAGGGCTGGAACCACCTGCACTCGCAAGCGTTTGCTCAAGGAAGGCGATTTGGGCGTGTCGTTCTCAGGAATTTCACGCAGAAGGACTGCATTTGGGAGAAGCCGTTGTCCAAAAAAGAAACGACAGACCGGAGGCTCGCCCCTTTTCACGGTTAGAGCCCCCGCCCCTCAAACATAAAAGGACTTCGGGTTTCCTTTTGGTTTTTCGCGAGAACCCACCAAAAAGGGGTACCAACTCCAAAACAGGAACCACACCTAGCTGCAAGTGAGCCAACACCGCAGAGCCGGCTCCAATCTGTTTACACGATTTGATCGCGCAGAGGCAACCGATGTCTTTTGGTTTGTTTGAGGCAGATCGTGACCATAGACGTCCTTTTGGACTGTCTTAAGGGGGAAGCACTCCCAGCTCCCAAACCACACCTGGGTAAACATGCTGTGGATGGACAAAGTCAGTCTTTATTTGCAGGATTTCAACAAATCAACCTGCCAGGGCCATCTGTTTCCCCAAAGGCCAGTTGTGTCGCTCAAAAGGGATTTTAAGTAGACCTGCGTAGCAGGGGGAGGGGTTGATGGGTTTGCAACGTTGACCCCAGGTTAAACAACCTTCTAACCGGGAAGTTGTTGTTTTTTTTGTTCCGGTAGACCAGGGCTCCTTAAAAGATACATTTTGCCCATTTGAAACATGGCTTTTTCCACCAAAATAAAAGAACACCACCATCTACACGGCAATGTTCAGGTGTATAATGTAAGGATCCCTGTAGACTAAGCATTGCTTTTACAATTAAGTTCCCAGTTCCCTCCAACATGGGCCAGGGGGTAGGTGGTCCGAAACTAGGGACTTCCCTCCATGGACCGGGGGTTTATGTGTCCCAAAACTCGGGGACCTCCACAAGAACAAGAGGGCGGTTTTACTTTTGGCGCACTTAAATTTGGCAGAGGCAAGGTCAGCCAGAAATTGGCAAGGCCATGTAAGCCAAAGAGGGTGTAGGAAGCTATGCCATGCCTTGTCCCAAACACATGGCTTCCCCCCGAAAGCGACCGCTCTACGGGGTAGCCGCGTGCGAAGAGGTGTCCAAGCCCAGCGGAACGACGCAGGCCGGGGGGGGAGGTCTTGGGGTCCCGTTTGATGTCCAACTCGCGGGCAAAGCGCCATGCAAGGCTTACTATGGCCATGTTGTTTTTTAGGAAGCCGCCTCAAAAGTGATTGGACATGACGTCCCCACCAAAGTTTGATGTCCACCAAAGGGTCCCTTATGAAAATTCATTTCATCAGCTTTTTTGGTGGTAACCCAATGGTCATCCCAGGTTTACCGGACCTTTTGATCACCCATTTGAGTCAAGGCCCGATGAATATAGTTGCGTGCCATGTCTTCGTGTTGGTTTCCGTTGCATGGCACGAGTTTTGAAGGAGCAGGCCCTGTTTGCACATGTCGGCCTCAATGAAGGCTCTTGTGGCTGACTGGGACTTGGTGTTGGTTGATCTTTTTGTTCTTCTCCCTAGGGAGGGGTTGCGGAAGTTGCGGAGTTTGTGGGTACTGCAAAGTTTGCATTTTTATTTGGTTTTCGGCATTTTTGGGGTGTTTTGTGGGGGGTGGGCCGGTCCAAAGGGCCGCTGTTGGGACCAACCTGCACTCTGCTGACCTAAAAGATCTCCCTGGCCATTTTTTTCCGGCAGAGTTGGGCGGGCCCGGGTCTGAACCAAGAGTAGACCACTAAACCCCGCGTGTCAACTCTCCAACACGGATACCCAAAGGAACACGGTTTGCCCCAGCGAAAAATGAAAACAAACACGAGCGATGGCATTCCGAATGCGCCAAAGCCTTTCAGGATGAACAAACCACAGATCAGGCGGGATTCTGGTGGTGTTCTTAAGGCTCCGGGCGATGTGCTTCCCATGCATGCAGGGTTCTTGGATGTTCCTAAACCAAGCGGCACATGGCAAGTGAGAGGGTTGGACAGGTGGTTGCACCTTTTTTGCTGGGCACACGTGAGCAGCATAGACCGGTAGACCGGTGAACTCCTTATGGAACAGAAAGAACCGAAGCAGCCATTTGTTCATAGAAAGCAGCGAGACAAATGCCAAACATCCACCAAAAACGAGGATTTCCTGTAGAATTACCTGTCGCTGGTGTCTTGGATTCGCTTTTCGGGCTGGTGGAAATCTCACGCTGTCTCCCGAACCCCGGGGCCTATTTTCGGGAGAGTCTATTGGCAACTACTTCCCATGGCGCAAAATGAGTATCTACGGGGTTCGCATGTACGCAAGATGCCAGTGGCCCAGACAGTAGAGGCCCAGACGCGTTTTTCAGAACGCCCACAGAATCCACGTCTCTGATCGTTTGTTCAGGCGTCCAAAACGAGAGGCGCGACGACTCAGGCTCGCGGGCCGATCCGGAAATGTGTGGCAGTTTGAGCGTCTTGGCCGTCGTAGTTTGGGGAACTCCGGTTTTGTTTTAAGGGGAAACACTCCGGGCTCCAGGCCGTTCCTAAGCCCGATCTGGGTAAATATGCAGTGGATGGACAGAATCCATGTCGCACCAGTTAGGTGGTTTAGCCACCATGATTTATAGGGTGTCGAATTTATCCCAAGTGGTGCGAAATGGATTTCATCCACCAGTTGGTTTGAAGTTTCATTTGGGGATTCATGTCCACCGCTCTACTTGCTGGTTCTCAGCTGGGAATGCGTTGGGGTGACGCTGTGAAAAACGATCCTCCGGGTGGTGGACCCCTGGGCTCATTCCCAACACCCCGCCGCGGCCTCGGTCATTCCCTGAGCACCAGCAAGCGATTCAGGGTTCCCCGTATACATTTTCCCAAGCTCCCAAGGAAACTCGCCGAGAGCACCAGAAAGCTGGTGTTCGACATGACCCTAGGGAACCTTGGGAACCAGCCCAGCAAGTCGAGGGCGGGGATTTGGTTTCAGGTGCCCAGCGACAAGTACGCCACCGAAGCCGAGGTCGACGCCGTTTGTCGCAGGCAGCTTGTGGGTGGGTGGGTGGGGTGGTTTTCCCCTGGGCTGTGAACCAATGTTGAAAAGCCACAGAGCATATTATGTACATATACTTGGTATCCTTTTTTGGGGGTATCCCTTTTGGGCTTGGTCTTGTCTTGAGGGAAGCCAAAAGGAAACCCTTGCCATATGCTTGTGGTTCCTTTTTTTTGGGAGCCCTCTTGTGGTTGGTTTTAAGGGGAAACCCAAAGGAACACCGAATCCATATACTCGTCATCCCTTGAGGATATATGGTGGATGCCCTAAATCATGCCTTGTTATATCTGTCTCTGTCTTTATCTTTCTGTCTGTCTGCGCTTGTTTCTGCGGGTCGGTTCACAAAGATGGCACACTTCCGCATTGCCGCGTGCCGCATCTCCCCCTTTTAAGCTCCGCTTTCTTCCTTTCGTTGTATCTTTCTTTTCGTTGCTGATTGTTTCTACCATTCCCTTTCTTGCAATATTTATGTCCGCAGTACCTGGAAGATTCGGGGGCTTTCATCGCTCACAACTCAATGCCAGCATCTCCCTCTGGACCTCAAGGAATGCCCCACAAAAGGCACATAGACTCTGCAGGCTCGGGCAGGTAGCCAGTGCTCAGTGACGTGCTTGGCTCCTTGGGGGCTCATGATTGCAATCAACCCACGCCCAGAGTCAACATACTGAGTAGTTCCTACTAAGCAAGCACCGCTCAAACCCCCCACTTTCACATATTTTGACCGAAAGACCTCCTCACTTGGGGCACTTTACGCTATGATTGTAAGTACAGCAACACAATATAGACAGGATTTTTCATAGAACCTGGAGTCTGAACCCTCCCCTGAGAGTGATCCCTTAGGTTTATGTCTACCTTGGAGCAATCACAGCATTGGACTGACCATGGACAACAAGAGAGGCCACGGCGCGTCACAGGCAGTTAACCCCCTGTTGAACTCTACCTTACTGAAATCCAAAACATGGCATACGGGCGGGTATTTTTCTAGGGACCCCAAAAATGGTTGGTATCCAATTGGTTTTCCTTTAAACAAAGCCCACAAATGGTACCCTCAAAAGCACATACCCCAAACTGGATGAAATCCTGCGCCAGGTATTTTCGTTGGGGAATCGCACCATTCCCTTGGGTTTCTGAACGGCGGTGCAATTTCTGGATTTTGCAACCATCCACTATTTGGCCATACGGCTGTGGGCCAAGAATAGGGCAACTCCAAAACGGAACCCTGGGTAAAAATGGAGAAGTCGACTTAAAAAGCCTGCGGATACTCCAGGGTCAAATGGAGAAGTCGACGAAAACCTGCCGGTGGCCGTTGGGGCTCGGTTTCATTTTGACCTCCAACCCCTCTGGCGCTCGACACTCGATGACGGCAGGTGCGAGCAGCTCCTGAAGTCCATGACGGCGGTGGTGCAGCGCAACGAGCGCTTGGCCAGACGGAAGTTCTGCTCTGAGAGGACGCGACGCGCGGGCGCACGCGACGCGTCGCGGTCGTGTGCGTTTTGGAAGAGGGAGGTGGTTTTTTGGGTGGAGGAAATCCGCGCCACTGAAGAGGGGCGTGGTTCCTGGGTGGAGGTTTTTCCAAGGCACGCAAAAACTTGGGCGCACCACTTGAGAGAAGTATGTGAAGCCCTGTAAGTTGTGGCATAAACCACCTAACCGTTGCAGGCTTTGTCCACCCACGGTAGGTCCTAAAGTTGCTTTTGCCTGTTACAAATCCATGTTTGGGGCCACACGGGTCGACCAGAAAGCGAGAGAGTTGTCGGCTATTGGCATAAAAGGTGAACAGAGAGATACTTGACTTCATTTCCTTCTGGAGAACACCAGTCAGCGTGTTTGTGTGTTGAGCAGGGGTGCCCTAGCTTTTAAAGAGGCAACAGCAGCTCCAGGTTTGTTTCGGGGACAAGGTTTACCTGAAGTTGAGGTTCTGGGGCTTCCAGCTGTCTTTTGGGAATTCCCCAAGGTTTCCCTCAAGTTGACTGAGTTCTTTTGGATTTGGCGAAGTTTCCCTGACGCTGAGAGGGTCTTTTGCTCGAGTTCTTGGCCGACCTCTCTGCGTTCAAAAAAACTGGCTCGATCGAGGATCTCCTGGGACTCCGTGAGTGCGGCTCCGGCCAGGCACCGAAGGGGTTTTTGAAGAAACCCGCGTTTGTGTTTGTTGGGGGGGGGGTTCAAGGGGGGGGTCCATGTGGATCTGCAGAACCAAAAAAACCATCCTTGCTGGTTTTGCGTTGCAACACGCGCTGAAGCCTTCCCAAGGACAAGTAACAGGGGCACTGGGTTGAGAACTTCAGATTCAGATTGGGTCCACTAGCTTGGCTGTTTGGCTCGCACCCGTTTTCTTCCCAATGCCGACGGGGATCAAGTTTTGCCAGGGTTCAGTTGTTTATTGCTAGGCGACTTCGCCAAGCCTGAACTTGAGGTGACAGTGGAAGTAGAAGACCAATGCTGGTTTCCGAATCCAACCATTCCAGTTTGCACAAGGGATTGGTGACTGTTCCTGGCCAAACTGGGGTTTCAAGAAAGACCGACCAGCCGATCCAGAGATTGCAACATGGGGCTGTCTTTTTGTTTGTACCCTTTTAGGATTGGACAGAGAGACCAAATGAGAAAATCAAGCAATGGGGTTCCTCCGTTTTGAGGCAAGCCCATATCTGAATTATCGCCCTCTGATACTTGAAATGAACACAAACACTTGAAGCTGGTCTGCTAACTCACATGCCTTTGTGAGGGGCCGATCTGATGAGGGGTTGCTCTTTTTTGGGCACTTGTTTTTTGTGGGCCCTTCTGCGAGGTTCCCTATATTCCCACATTGCAGTTTCACGCATACGGGCCAATTCAGCGTGATCTTCCCAGCTTTTATTGGTCTTTCTTAATTGGGCACATTGTGTACACTGTATGATTCGCTTCCCGGTGTAGGTTTGGGTTGTGATTTTTTTTTCCGCCCCGGTGTGGGGGGGGGGGCCCAAAGATGCTGCAAAGGGCACCGCGCGCGAAAGCGATCGACCTTCGCGCCCAGGATCTCGCGAGCATAGAGCGACATCCAAACACACCCAGACAGGTTCCCCTAAGACAGCTCGAAGAAAGCGAAGCTAAGAAAGCTTTCAAAGAAGGTTCTAAGAATACAAAGGTTCTAAGAATGAAACGGTTCTAAGGGTGCAAAGGTTCAAAGAATGAAACGGTTCTAAGGGTGCAAAGGTTCTAAGAATGAAACGGTTCTAAGGGTGCAAAGGTTCTAAGAATGAAACGGTTCTAAGGGTGCAAAGGTTCTAAGAATGAAACGGTTCTAAGGGTGCAAAGGTTCTAAGAATGAAACGGTTCTAAGGGTGCAAAGGTTCTAAGCACTCAACTAACTGCAGGCTATTTTCCTTCTTCGGCCAAAAAGGGGCTGTCATGCCCAGTGATTTCATCCGCAACTCAAACATCAGGGCTCCCCCTTCTTTTAAGGGTCTCACCCGGAAAAAGAACCTGCTCAAACCCCTCAGCTCTTCTTGAAGATGGTGTAGCCCACCCACTTGCCCTTCTCGAACTTCTCGCGCCGCCCTTTCCGGGGCGACAGATCCACCCACAGCCCTCCTCCAACGGACCAGGCAATGGTGCGCTTCGTTCCCTCGTAGCCCTCCTTCTCCGTGTCGAAGAGCTTCACGCGCTCCTTCCTGTGGACCTGGATGCCAATCTCTCCGTGGCCAGGAATGGGCACATCAATCCACTCGTCCCGTGTCCCCTTAGGCGGATGGGACAACATGACCACCGCGCTCTCCTCAAGGTCCTGAAAGAAAGCGCGCCGCATGATCTCCAGCATGTTCTGACTCGAACCGCCCACAACCCTCCGCGAGATCATCTCCTCTCCATGCGTCCTAGGCCGCTTGTTTGCCGCCCCATCAATGCCACCGCCACCACCTCCGGTAGATGCCGATGTCCCTGATCCAAACGCCGAGGAATCCCCTCCCGTGAAACCAGAGGGCCTTGATCCCGCTTCTCCACCCCCTCCGTTCCCAGGAGGTTGTTGCCCCGGACCACTTGAACTCGAGCTCCTCACTCCGGCTTCGGGCCGCCTCAAGACCCTGAAGTTTGAAGACCCCGTCCATGGCGTCCTCCTCTCCCAGTGCTCTTCTTGCCAATTCTCGACCATCCTCTCCCAGGTCATGCCGTTCTCAGCGTCCGGAGCGATCTCGGAGATCCTGATGTAGTCCAAGTCCTCAAAGTTGATGCCGGGTGGAAGCTCTCTAGGCCTCGGAATGTAATCCCAGTAGCGCGGCACCATGTGAATGCGGGAAAGTCTAATCTCATTCTCGCGGAACTCGACCTCCCATTCATCTTCGCCAGGTTCATCCTGCGATGGCCTTTCTGTCACCTCCGGAGGACCATCTCCACCACCGGCTGGTGCAACCTTTCGCAGCCGCAACCCCTCACCCACATTCCCAAAGCCTTTCACCTCCGGCGTCATCCAATTCATAGACGGTCTCCCTGACGAAGCACCCGCCTTCTCGACCACCAACGATCTCACCGAAGGACCAACCTCCTCTGTCTGCTTCTTCACAGGCCCGTCTAACTCCTTCACCTCCTTGATCTTGGCCAGGGAAACCTTCTCCAGCACCAATTGCGCTACCGCCTCTTCCGGCTCGATGACGTAGTCCTGGGGTCCATGGTTCCTGACCAAAATCCTCACCTCTCCACGGAAGTCGCGCTCAATGACCGCGGATCCCGTTTCAACTCCTCTCAAAGCCAAGCTGGCCACCGTTGTGATCCTCCCGCACGTTCCTCGGGGTAACTGTGCCTTCACGCCCGTCCTCACCAGCGTGTAGCTCTCCGCCGGCACCACCACTCTGTTTACCGCGAAAAGGTTCACCCCGGCTGAGCTCTCCGTTGGCCTTTCCGGCATCACCGCTTCCGCACAGGTTCTCTGGAACCGCAGCTCTTCCTCTTTTCGCAAGCAGTTCCGCAATGCCACCACTCCAAGCTCCTTGACCAGCTTCAGCAAGATGACCACGGCGACGATCACCACCAGCCACCAGTAGCCACCTCCTTCTTCTCCAAGGTCCATCTCCTTCGCCTCCGTCAGCTCCACGCATGTAGAGGCCACCACCAGCAATCCCAGGACTTTCTCCAACCTCCTGTCCCGACTGCTTTCCATCTTCTTCACCTTGACAACCTCCACCGGGCTCTCACCGCTCTCCACCGCCCCACCATAGAAGCCCAATGACTCCTTGAAGCGCCCAAACGGTGAGGCCCCAAGCTGTTTCGTGAAGCCGTCCGCGACCAGACTCTGCCCAGGAACATGTTGAAGCTGGACATCACCGAGCTTGACCGCCTCCGAAAGCGCCGCAGCCCGGATCCTCAAATGTCTCGTCCTCCAGCTTCCCGAGCTCCCGTTGACAATGGCCAGGGCCGCACTACTGTCGCTGTAGAGCCTAAGCTCCGCGGGCTTCTCCTCCAATTCCTCCACCAAGCCACCAACTCCCCTCAAAGCCGTCCAGGCTTCAATGAGCGCCGCTAGCTCGCTTTCCGCCGTACTAAGCGCAATACACGCCTGTCGCGTAGTAGCCCAGAAGACGGGGCAGCCGGAGTAGTACACGGCCAATCCCGAGATCGACTTGTGCTCATGGGCTCCAAAAGAAGCATCCGCGTAGGCCTCCACTGCATCTCGTCGACGTTCACGATGCTGTTGATGGTCCGGCCCATAATCTCCAGCACCAAGACGTTGGTACCGCAAACCTTCCCGGGACGTCCTCCACAGGTACTGCAGCACCTTCTCTCCAATCCTCGTGACCCCCCGAGGTCTCTTCGTAGTCCACTGCCCCATCACGGCTACCGCATAGGTGATGTCCGGCCTCGTCCTCGAAGAAAGCCACAACAGCTCTCCAGTGATGACTTGCGCCTGCCGCACATCTTCAGGACTCGGGGGCCCTTCCTCCTCCGGAATCCCCACTCCTCCCAGCGTGCCACCCTTGGCGATGTGATGCCGGTCCAGTAGGTCCGCCGTGTAGGACTCCTGATGCATCCGGATCCCTTGCTCATCATGAGAGAATTCGAACCCGCAAAACCGCAGGTCCTCTGTCTCCGACAGCCACTCCGGGTCGCTGGTGTCCCAAACCTGCCGGATCTTGAGCAGCGTCGCCGCCACAGCCCCGCGATCTCCAGTGATCAACAGGTCGTCGATGTAGACCGCCATGTAGCCCACCGTCTCATCTTGTCCGTGCCGACTGCTCTTGATCCTCCACAGATTCACCTCCTTGGTTTTCTCGAACCAGCAAGCCCATGTGCCCTCGTCATCTTCCATCTCCCAGTTGATCGCGCCCATGGTTTCGTCCCGGTGGTTCGCCCAGTCCTTGGGTGACGTAGTAAGGCCGTAAACAGATCCCTCCACCGCCCAAAGCTCTCCCGGCTCAGTGATCTGGCACTCCTGAAAGATGGTGGGAGGGTTGACCACTACGATGTCCTTGGACCGGCCCGGCGGCACTTGCAAGAACGCCGTCTTCACATCGACCCCCGCAAGAGTCCATCCTCGCTGCGCTCCAGCCGCCACCATCGCCCTCACTTGAGACGCGTCAATGCCTCCAGCGTAGGTGTCCGCCGCAGGCCTCTCCGACATGAAGTTTCCACAGGCGACCCCACGGCATTTCCGTCGTCCTGTAGCAGCTTTCCTCGTGAACACCGCTTTTCCCGGAACCCGGTCGTACGGTATGCCCTTCTCCAGCGCCTCCTTCTTGAGCGCCTCGGCTTCCCGCTGATTGATGGCCCGGATCACGCCCGAGTTCAGCAAAGCCGCCCTCTCTTCGACCATAGAAGGCCTCCACTTCTCCACTTCTTTCCTCACATCTGCCAAGGCGTAGGTCTTGGTCTGAAGAAAGACCTCTTCTTCTGTTGCCTTTCTCGCACAGGTCTCCTCAGAGTCAAGATCCTCAGCCTTCTGCATTGCCGCCAGCCATGCCCCCACTCTAGCGTCCTCCTCCGCCAGCATCCCGACGGTCTTCTTCACCATGTCGTGGTCAGCGCCTTGTTCCTCTTCTAGACGCCATTCCTCCTCCATCATGTGCCTCCCCCGGGCCTGACATTCCATCACCAGGGTTCTCAGGTCCGGCTCCCATTCTCGATCTTCCAGCGCAGGCGGCCTCTTG